CCTCGTTTGAATTCCACCTGCTGCCTCCCATCCTTCTTCCACACTCTGCTGTGAAGATCCGGGTCCAGCCTCCGTGTTACCTCCTTGGAGCAGGATCCCTTCACGACTTCTCTTGTCAGGGTTGAACAAGCCTCTTTCCTGGATCTCTCATTCCAGGGCGTTCTCCACCCCCTGTCCCACTGACATCCCTCTGAACTGGAGCAGACGCTGCCGGGTCTCTGCCAAGGCCTCCCTGCCCTCTCCTCTGCATCCTGGTGTGAAACACCCCCCGTATCCCGTCTGCCCACTCCCCTCCATTCATCCCCAGGGTCTTTCCCAGGATCCTCCCAGGGCTCTGAACCTGGAACATCTCGTGTTTGCCTTGTGCTTTGCCCTGTGCTTTGCCCTGTGCTTTGGCTGTTCTCAGGTGTCCCGGGCACCACGCAGAGCCTGTGTCCGTGTGGGGTTTTGCTCATTTATTCCCCTTCACCTGGCAGTAAGACTGTGAAAAGAGCAGGGCTTGCGTGTGAGTAGCACTGCAAATCTACCTTGCCCTGGGACCCATCTTCTGAGCTGGGAGCAGGAGGGTCTGAGCAGCTGATTCTCTGCTCTGCTGGAAATCATGGACTCCCAGGCTGGGTCAGGCAGGGGGGGCTTAAAGCCCCTCCTGTTCCACAGCTCCACGGGCAGGGACAGCTTCCACTGGCCTGGAGTTAAACACTCACAGGGATGGGGTAGCCACAGCTTCTCTGGGCAGCCTGGGCCAGTGCCAATGCCAACAAATTCTGCATTTGTTTCCAGTGTTGATTTCCTAAATAAGAAATGTCAGGGTTAAACTTTCACCATTTTCACACCTTTTGATCTCCAGTTGGCATAAAAAACCAGCCTTGGCTTAGCAGCTTGGTCGTGGTTGGGATGAGCCTGGAAAAGGCATTTGCTCACTCCACAGAGCATCTCAAACTCTGGAATTTGGGGACAACTGTGAAATAGTGGAATGTTTTCCTTTTCATTCTAAAGCATTTCAAGTATTTCTTTTTTTTCTCCTGTTTTTCAACAAAAACTGTCCATCCTTTTTCTTCAGTTTAGGATTTAATGGGTGAACAGGAGTGTAGCTGCATGTGACACTGCTCCCTAACAGCACAGGCGTCCCTGCAGAGGCTGGTGGGGAGGTGGAGGGATGTGCAGCTCCCCTGTTCAGCGCAGTGTCCAGCTACGTGGAGCTTGTGTTGTTGGTTTGTTTTAGGTCTAGGCCATGTGAGAGCTGAGCTGGGATGGAGCATGACTCACACGCCCCGTGGGAATTCAATGGCTCCTTCTATCAGCCTTCTGCTTTCCTCATGATGGGCATCCCGGGCCTGGAAGCCCTTCACCCCTGGATCTCCATCCCTTTCTGTGCGCTCTACCTTGCTGCTCTCCTGGGGAACTGCGCCATCCTGTTCATCATCAGGAGGACCCCCAGCCTTCACGAGCCCATGTACTACTTCCTGTCCATGCTGGCAGTCACCGACCTGGGCTTGGCTCTCTGCACCCTGCCCACCACCCTGGGCCTCTTTTGGTTCGACGTGCGCAGCATTGGCTTCGACGCCTGCCTCGCCCAGATGTATTTCATCCACATCCTGTCCTTCATCGAGTCCTCCGTGCTCCTGGCCATGGCCTTCGACCGCTTCATTGCCATCTCCCACCCCCTGAGACACCCGGCCATCCTGACCAAGAGCACTGTCCTGAAGATAGGCCTGGCCATTGTGCTGAGGGGGATGGTCTCGCTGCTCCCCATCCCCTTCCTGCTCAAGAGACTGACCTACTGCGGCAAGACCGAGCTGTCCCACTCCTTCTGCTTCCATCCCGACATCATGAACCTGGCCTGTGCAGATATAAAGGTCAACGTCTTCTACGGGATGATCATTCTCTTATCCACGGTGGGGATGGACTTAATCTTCATCGTGCTGTCCTACATCCTCATCATCAGAACCGTGGTCAGCCTCACCACCAGGGAGGAGTGTCTGAAGGCTTTGAACACCTGTGTCTCCCACATCTGTGCTGTCCTCGTGTTCTTCATCCCCATGATCGCACTGTCCATGATCCATCGCTTTGGGAAGAACGTTCCTCCTCTCGTTAACACCTTGGTGGCCTACACCTACCTCATCATTCCCCCCGCTCTCAACCCCGTTATCTACAGCATAAAATCCACCCACATCCGGGAGGCTTTGCTCAGGGCCCTGTGCAGGAAGCGTGGCTCTGACTGGTAGTTTCCTCCACCAGTTCTGCCAGAAAGTGCTGATGGGCTGGGCTCTCTGTCAGGCCTCTGGATTGCATTCTCTGTCAGACCTCGGGACTGGGCTCTCTGTCAGACCTCTGGGACCGCTGCCTTGGTCAGAGCTCTTGGCCTGGTTTCCCAGTCAGAGCTGGTGGACTGCTCTCCTGCTGCTCCATCCATGCAGGTCGCTGCCAGAGGAAAGAACTGCAGATCCACTGGGATGCTGCCCCCAGCCCAGAGCTGTGAGCTTTCATGTTATGTCCGGTGCTTTCCTCCCCTCCTGCACAGAGCATTTCTCATTAGGCCTTGTTGAGGGGTCCAGAGCACTCTCAGCCCTTGCAAATCATGCTCAGCCATCATCCGATTGTCCGGAGTGCCGTGTCCATCCCCAGTGACAAAACAGCTGCTTGTGCACCGCTTTTGGAAGTCTTTGAGTCTTACCAGCTCGCCAAGTCTAATTAATGTCCCAGCATTGTCCTGCATTGAATGTCACATATGTGCAGCATCTGCAATAAAATCCATCTCTGCGTTGTGAAAGGTCACAGGATTTGAGGAGGCCTTTATCTGTCGATATGATGCAGAAAGATTAGGCTGGAGCTGCCTAAAATCTTTGGGGTGTGCTGCAGATGAGCAGGACTGGATGAGCCAGGTGTGTCTCAGGATGGGCCTGGGGGTCTGGTGGGGCTGGAAGCTCTCTTGCAAAAAAAGAGGGGAGCTCAAAAACACTGTAGGAATGGCTAAACTTCCTGAGACTCGGGCCCACGTGCTGCTGCCTTCCGTCGGAGCTCTGCTGTGCTGGCTGTGCCCTCAGCGGGCTGGGAGGAGATCCCAGGGCATCCACGGGTGGGAGATGCAGCACGTCCCAGCACCTCCTTGCTCTGCTGGAGGCTGGGTGTGAGCCAGGCAGGCAGAAAGTGTCATGGTTCTCCTGGCTCCCACAGACAGAATAAAATGTCCCAAAATCACAGAACAGAACCACAGAACCACGAGGGCTGGAAAAGCCCTCCCAGACCTGTGACTGATCGCCCACCTCGTCACTCACACCAGAGCACCGAGAGCCATGTCCATTTGTAAATATTTCACTCCTCCAAATGGCAGAGCTGCAATTCTGTTGATCTCAAACCGCATTTTGGCCAGTCTTGAGCACGGTGGAGAAGAGGAATCAACAGTCAGTGTTTACTTTGGAGGGATGAAGCAGCAAAGGCGTGGGGACAGGATCCCAGCCCTGAACTGTCCCAGTTTTGCCTGACACTGAGCACTTCACCAGCCCAGATCAGACTTTCTATTCTGTGTAGTAGCTGGAGAGAAAAAAATTGAGAGGAAAAAATAATGGAGCGGAAACAGCTCCATAAAAAAGCAGAAAGAGGGCAGGGAGGATTCCTGAGGGGAGGATTCCCAGGCCACTGCTTGCTCTGTGTTGTGCTCATTATCTCGCTGTGTCCCAGGGTCCCCAGCCCAGGGTGAGACACCAACAGCCCCCAGGAGCTCAGCCTGGGGAGCAGCTCCCACCGCCACTGGGGAAGGGGAGAGCTCTGCTCAAATACCTCTGATCTAAACTGGAGCTTGCAGGAAAAATTTACAGACAAGAACAGAACAAAGAGCTTTGCTGTGGAGATGCCTGGCTTGCAGCATCTTCACACGGGATTCTGAAATTGATGATTGAGAATTCTGAGAGGATTCTGAGTCTGCTCCCATTCTGAAAACTTCCAGAGTTCACCCCTGGATGTCCGTGTTCCTGGCTGCAGCTGTTCTCCAAAACGGCTCCGAAACAAAAAGCCCGAGGAGCCTCTGCCACAGTAAGAAAATCTTTGTGGGGGACTTGGAGGGCAAAGTGTGAGGGATTTATCAGCACATCTGTCAGCACAGCTGGAGAGCAGGATGGAGGGGGAATGAAGGAGGGAGAGATGAAGGTTGGAGGGGAGAGGAAGGGGAAGGGAAAGAGGGAGAAGGCAGAGAAGGAGAAGGAGAAGAAAGATGGGAGAGATGGGGTTGTTTGGTCCGGAGAAGAGAAGGCTCCAGGGAGAGCTCAAAGCCCCAGCCAGGGCCTGGAGGGGCTCCAGGAGAGCTGCAGAGGGACTGGGGACAAGGATGGAGGGACAGGAGCCAGGGAATGGCTCCCAGTGCCAGAGGGCAGGCTGGGTGGGAGATTGGGAATTGGGAATTGTTCCCTGGCAGGGTGGGCAGGGCTGGGATGGAATTCCCAGATTCCCCTGGATCCCTGGCAGTGCCCAAGGCCAGGTTGGAGCAGCCTGGGACAGTGGGAGGTGTCCCTGCCATGGCAGGGGTGGCACTGGATGAGCTTTAAGGTTCCTCCCAGCCCAAACCATTCCATGGTTCTTTGATGAGGTGGGGATTGGTCAAAGGTTGGACTCAATGATCCTGGATTTCCAACCTCAGTGATTCTGTGATTCTGTGATTTACTGCTGGGGTGCTGCTTGGGTCCCCCTAGGAAAATAAATCTGCATTTACTGGTGTTTCAAAGACACGGATCCAGTTTCCACCTCTGCAGAAATCCAGGCCCTCTCAGCACCCGCCCTGCCCACCAGCAATCCCAAATCCTGAGCCACTTATGAAAGCTTGCCTACATTTTTCAGTGCCAGAGAATTAGAGAGAACTGAAGCATCAGGGGCTGTTTCAGTGCCTGTCTCACAGCCCCATTCCCTCAGGGAAATGATCAGGAGGGCAGGAATTTTCCCCTGAGAGATAATCCCATCGGGGCTGGCAGCTGAGGTGCCTCAGTACCTGTTGGTGATTACTGATTCTCCTTGTTCGTTCTGTTTGTGTCTTAATTCAAGAGCTTGGCTGACAACCCCATCCCTGGAATAGATTTTGGGCACAGTGACAGCAACAGTTCCTCCCACACTGTGTGTAAATGGGGTATAAAAAGCTACAATGTGAGTCCTACTCGTTATACATCCAAAATGGAAAAGCCCCACATCAGGAGAATAAAGCCTGATGCTATTTTAGGCCTTCAGCACAGATGTGCAATAAAAACCCCATGTTTCACAGCCCAACATTATTTATAAAGTAACTCCATTAATAACCTGCAGAGCTTGCCATAAAGCCACTTTGCATCGTTGATTTGAACAGATTGGGCATGAAAGGAATAACCAGAAAGCTCAGGTTGAGCTTGACCTTGTGCTGCCCATCCAGGCAGGAGGGATGGTGGGTTTATTTCAGCACAGGTACTGGCTTGGTGCCTGAAAATAGAAAGGTACCTAAAGCAAAGCCTTTTATTTATCTTCAGGCCACTATCCTTGGATCACAGCACTCCTGGAAAATCTACAGATACAGAATAAGGTGAATAATCTGATTATTTTTTTCCTGCAGATATTCTGGTTTTTCCATACATGTTTTTCATAGGATATAAATCCAATTTGTATGTGCAAAAAAATTTTGAAAGATCCATGTCTGCCTGTGTCTGTGAGCTGTTCTGGGGAGGACTGGGTCGTGGGAGGCAGCACTGCCAGCTTCAGCCTCACTGAGCACATTTCTGACAGGCCACCACAGCACATATGGAAAAAATCAAGCAGCACTGAAGTATTACAGAAAGCACTAAAAATCTGCTGGGTTTTCTGTTATAATTTTTAATTTTGTCCTTTAAAGAGAAAAGCAAACAAGTTCAGCTGATGGGTTTGCTATTCAAAAGGTTGATTTTATGGTGTTCTGCCTTTTAGAGAATTCAGGCAATTCCCGTTCGAACTGAAATGTCAGCGTTTTGTCACTGCATATGTTGTTGCATAGAGCCATAACGGGGTAAAAAAGCGGGAGAGGAGCTCTCTGCACCAGCGTGGCAGCTCTGAGAATGCCAGGAATGGCCCTGAGGGATCCCAAGCCATGGGAAAGGGCTGGTAAAAAGTTCTCGTTTCCCTTGCAGCAGGAAGTGCCCGGGCGTAGCATGAGCGGCCCTGGCCCCGAGGGCCATGCCCTTCTCCAACAGCTCTGAGCTCAGCCCGTCCTTCATCCTGGCCAGCCTGCCGGGGCTGGAGGCGGCGCAGTCCTGGATGGCCATCCCGCTGTGCTCGGCCTACGTGCTGGCGGTGCTGGGCAACGGCGCCGTGCTGCTGGTGGTGCGCGCCGAGCCCAGCCTGCACGCGCCCATGTACTTCTTCCTCTGCATGCTGGCCGCCATCGACCTGGCGCTGGCCACGGCCACCGTGCCGCGCATCCTCTGCTTCTACTGGTTCGGCAGCCGGGAGATCAGCTTCGCCGCCTGCCTGCTCCAGATGTTCCTCATCCACACGCTCTCGGCCGTCGAGTCCACCGTGCTGCTGGCCATGGCCGTGGACCGCTACGTGGCCATCTGCCACCCGCTGCGGCACGCCGCCATCCTCACCAACGGCGCCACGGCCAAAATCGGGCTGCTGGCCGTGGCCAGGGGCGTGCTCTTCTTCCTGCCGCTGCCCCTGCTCCTCCTGCCCCTGCCCTTCTGCGGCCCCCGCGTGCTGTCCCACTCCTTCTGCCTGCACCAGGACGTGATGAACCTGGCCTGCGCCAACACCACCCCCAGCGTGGTGTACGGGCTCACCGCCATCCTGCTGGTCATGGGGCTGGACGCCGTCCTCATCTGCCTCTCCTACCTGCTCATCCTGAAGGCCGTCCTGCGCCTCGCGGCCTGGAGGGAGCGGCTCAAGGTGTTCAGCACCTGCATCGCCCACATCTGCGTGGTGCTGGCCTTCTACGTGCCCCTGATCGGGCTGTCCGTGGTGCACAGGTTTGGGAAGGACCTGGCTCCGCTGGTCCACATCATCATGGGCAACATCTACATCCTGGTGCCCGCCGTGCTCAACCCCATCATCTACGGGGTGAGGACCAAGCAGATCCAGAGGAGGATCCTGAGTTTGATTCACGTCACTGACAGGGCTCCCCGGTGACCTGAGCTCGGCCGCTGCCCCGTGTCCTCACTCTGGCACACCTTGTTCTACGCTCAGAGCCTTTGGTGCCAGACTGTCCTCTCCGTGTGCTCTGAGGTGCTGCCACCAGGCAAAAGCTGATTGTAAACTCCTCCAGAGAGTATTTACCCTCACCAAACTCAGAGAGAAATGACTGCAATGATCGAAATCCAAGCCCACCCTGGCAGGTTCCACAAGAAGGGAAAAGCGACTCAGCAAATTTACACAGATGTCCCAACATTGCACCTCTTGGCTCCCGTCTCACCTCTAACAGCAGCAGAGCAGAGAAAATGCTGGGTGGTTTGAGATGATTTAGTTAATTCATTGTTTTTCACATGGGGCACAGACACATTCCAGAAGTTTTGCCAGAAAATTTGCACGTAGCACCCTTCTTTAAGTAAAATAATTACAGGACACCTGTCCGAAGTGCCATTACAGATGCAGAAATGCATTTCAGAGAAAGAACATCCCCCTCTCTGGTCTTGTTCTGACCTCTTGTGTGCTCTGTCAAAACCCCTCAACCTCCTCATAGCAGATGCTGTGTAAAAATTCAGACTCAGAGTAAGTGGTAGCAATTGTAAAAATGATTTAAATTAGTAATTGTATTCATTAAAATGAAAATATCTCAAGGGAAAAAAATAAGCAAGTAATAAATGTCAGTGATGACTCCAAGCTGAAGGAAGTTTCGTTTCCAAGCTGAAGGAAGTTTCGTTTCCAAGCCAAAGGTGTTCCACACTGGGAATCCCTAAAACGTCCTGTCCCCAGCACCACTGACCAGAGTCTGACACCATCCTCTGGCACGCCTTGGGGAGACGTGCATGGATTGATGGGAACCCCTCTCAGTGTTCTCGTTATCCTGAGCTGTGTTTCACACTCAAGGGGAAATCAGGGATGTTCCCACTGCACGGAGATCCCTGAGGGAGCGGTGCCGGGGCTGAGCTCCCGTTTGTCACCGTGGGTTTTGCTGCCCCAGGGTGGCACAAGGCCCTGCCCAGACCGTTCTGGGGGAGTGCAGCAGCACTGGTCTGATCTGCACTCCAGCAGGAGGCCCAGGTGCTCTCAAACCCCAGTGTCTCCATTAGGATCCCAGAACCCCAAATCCTGGGGCTGGAAAAGCCCTCCCAGCCCAGGGAGTCCCAGCTGGGCCCATGCCCACCTTGTCCCCAGCCCAGAGCACTCAGTGCCACCTCCAGGGGACACCTGCAGGGATGGGCACTCCAAAGCTCCCTGGGCAGCCCCTGCCAGGGCCTGAGCCCCCTTTCCATGGGGAAATTGCTGCTGCTGTCCCAGCTGAGCCTGCCCTGGCTCAGCCCCTTCCCAGCTCCCTCAGGAATTCTCCAGCCCCTTCCCAGCTCCCTCAGCCCCTCCTCAGGGACCGACTCTCTAGGACAGGGGCAGGTCCCAGAGCTCAGGGACTCTTGTCTGTGACTTTAGAAGGGAGATCTCACCAAAGGCTCTCTCGCGGGCCCTCAGTGCTGCAATGTTTGGTGGAGTTTGGTGCAGTTTCTTCCCTGTTCCGATGAATGCTGAGAGTAAAATAAAACCTAATTTTTGTAGTCCGTGCTGGTCCAAATTCACTCTTGGTATAACCTTTTCTGCTAAATTCAACCCCAATTTATTTCAAAATAAATTCTTTCATTTAGGCAAGTTACAAATGGTTCTCATCTGGGACTTCAAGGCAATTCTGTCCCTGTCATTTTTGGCATATTCTGGTTTAATAGAGCTTAGAAGGGTAAAAAAAAAAATCATAAAAATGAAAACAATCTGTACCTGTCTAATGTGATTTGGGAAATGTGAATGAGTTTTTCGGAGGCATTATGGGTCTAAACCCTTTTCAGGTGGCCATGGCATTGAGAAATGGCTCCTGCTCATTCCCCATATGTTCCTGTTTTTTCCTCTTGTGCTGAGAAAAAAAAATAATAAAGAAAAATGAATGAACTACTCTGGAATGCTGTATTGTATTTCCTACTCATTTATTTCTCAGGAGTTAATAGAATCTCAGAACAGGAAGGCATGATGGATTGATTTCTCCTGGGTGCAGATAAAAACTCACATCTTGTTCTCCAAAGTTTAGTCATGGAGTGTTGCTTTTCTGGGGAACAGATCGTGCTGGAACACGGCACTTGTCTTTGCCACTTTCCTCCTGGAATGTCCAGTGCTGAGGGCCCAGGTCACCTCTCCTGCAGCAGAAGGAGAACCTCAACCCATGGGGACACCACATCTCCACCCTGAGCAGGGCCAGAGCCAGAGCTGGGGCTGGTGCAGCTTAGCTGGGAAGGGTTGGGTTCACTTGGCTGAAAAGGGAGGGATGCTTGGAGGGAGGGATGGGGGAAAGAGGAGGATGGGGGAGGTGGGAAGAGGACTGGGAGTCACAGGAGCCTGGAGCTGGCAACAGAGGCAACAAGAACACACATAGGGCTGCAGAAGATGGAGATTCCTAGATCTCCTGGGAGATGGCCCCGAAGTATTCTTCTCTCCTCTCCTCTCCTCTCCTCTCCTCTCCTCTCCTCTCCTCTCCTCTCCTCTCCTCTCCTCTCCTCTCCTCTCCTCTCCCTCTCCTCTCCTCTCCTCTCCCTCTCCTCTCCTCTCCTCTCCTCTCCTCTCCTCTCCTCTCCTCTCCTCTCCTCTCCTCCTCCTCTCCTCTCCTCTCCTCTCCTCTCCTCTCCTCTCCTCTCCTCTCCTCTCCTCTCCTCTCCTCTCCTCTCCTCTCCTCTCCTCTCCTCTCCTCTCCTCTCCTCTCCTCTCCTCTCCTCTCCTCTCCTCTCCTCTCCTCTCCTCTCCTCTCCTCTCCTCTCCTCTCCTCTCCTCTCCTCTCCTCTCCTCTCCTCTCCTCTCCTCTCCTCTCCTCTCCTCTCCTCTCCTCTCCTCTCCTCTCCTCTCCTCTCCTCTCCTCTCCTCTCCTCTCCTCTCCTCTCCTCTCCTCTCCTCTCCTCTCCTCTCTCGTTTTTAAGGTTGGAAAAGGTCTCTAAGCACACCGAGTCTGACCATTAACCCAGCACTGATGGGTTCCCCACTACAGCACGTCCCAAAGCACCTTATCCATGGTTTTAGAACTCCTGCAGGGATGGGCACTCCAAAGCTCCCTGGGCAGCCCCTGCCAGGGCCTGAGCCCCCTTTCCATGGGGAAATTGCTGCTGCTGTCCCAGCTGAGCCTGCCCTGGCCCAGCCTGAGGCCGTTCCCTCTCCTCCTGTCCCTGTTCCCTGGAGCAGAGCCCGACCCCCCGGCTGTCCCCTCCTGGCAGGAGCTGTGCAGAGCCACAAGGTCCCCCCTGAGCCTCCTTTTCTCCAGGCTGAGCCCCTTCCCAGCTGCCCTGTGCTCCAGCCCCTTCCCACCTTTGCCCACCTCTGTGCCAGTCTCCCAGGCTGCCTGGGGGCTGGATACAGCTCCCAGCAATGGAAGGGCTTTATTTGCTGAACATTTTGATTGCAATTGGCTTTGCTGAATATTTGGCAAAGAGGGGCTGCACTGCCTGAGCTCCACATAGCACCAAGTGAACTGAACAAATATGGTTCAGGTTCCCAAATCTGCCTGGTTACATCATCATCCTCCATCTGTGCCACGGGGATGGTGCTGGTGCTCCTGACTTCTCTCTCCACGCCTGGATTAAAGCTGGGGATGAAAAGCAGCCAAGAAGGAATAGATTGCTGTTGTTTTGATTGATTGTTGTTTGGAAAGGATCATTAATACATACTACAGCAGTCTTAATTGCAAACCCAGCAATCAAACACAAATTTAACCTTGAACTGCCCAGACAAGGGCAATGGAGCTGGGGAAGGGTAGGGTGGGGATCAGGCTCTGCTCCAGGGAACAGGGACAGGAGGAGAGGGAACGGCCTCAGGCTGGGCCAGGGCAGGCTCAGCTGGGACAGCAGCAACAATTTCCCCATGGAAAGGGGGCTCAGGCCCTGGCAGGGGCTGCCCAGGGAGCTTTGGAGTGCCCATCCCTGCAGGTGTCCCCTGGAGGTGGCACTGAGTGCTCTGGGCTGGGGACAAGGAGGGCATGGGCCCAGCTGGGACTCCCTGGGTTGGGAGGGCTTTTCCAGCCTCAGGGATTTGAGATTCTGCTCTAGTGGAAGGTGTCCCTGCCCATGGCAGGTGGTTGGAACTCGATGATCTATCAGGTTCCTTCCAGCACAAGCCCTTCCATAATTCTAGGATGGCCCTTAGATCTGCTTCAGATCAAAACATTGGAAGAAACCAGGCACAGAACAGCACAACACAGGCCTGTTTGCGAGGTCACCAGCACTGAGTGGGTTAAAAGCTGCCACCTTCTCCGACTTCTGTCTCTAATTATGCCTTAAGTAGAGATGCAGAGCTCCCTGCTGGGATTGATGTGTCAGGCAGAAAAACACCTCAGGTCTCTGCAGAGCAGAATGTCCCTGGGGTGGAAGGGTTCTGCTGGAAGGGCTCTGCTGGAAAGGCCCTGTTGGAAAGGTCCTGCTGGAAAGGCTCTGCTGGAAAGGCTCTGCTGGAAGGGCTCTGCTGGAAAGGCTCTGCTGGAAGGGCTCTGCTGGAAGGGCTCTGCTGGAAAGGCTCTGCTGGAAAGGTCCTGCTGGAAAGGCCCTGCTGGAAAGGCTCTGCAGGAAAGGCTCTGTTGGAAGAGCTCTGGTGCCGTGGCTGCTCTGGGCAGCCCCACTCCTGCCCCACTGCCTCTGCCTGGGAACTGTGCTCCCCGTCCCTCTGCTCCCCACAGAATCATGGAGTTTTAGCTACAGCACCATCCACAGAGGGAGCTGCCTGGAGCGAGGTGAAGAAGAAAGCTGCCAGGACCTGCGATTCCCAGGATGTTTAAAGCCACTTGGGGAAAAAATGGGGAATGTCCCCAGAGAGCGGGTGACCCTCAGCCCAAAGTACCCGCGAGGTTTCCAGCACAGGCCAGCTCCAGTTGGTGACTGGTGGCCGTGCTGGGACGGGCTGGGATGGTCACTCTGTGACATCTGTCTGTATGCAGCAGGACCAGAGCCCAGCTCGGCTGCATCAGACCCTCAGGGGGGATCCACTAGACAGAATCCAGGATCCCTGGGGCTGGAAAAGCCCTCCCAGCCCAGGGAGTCCCAGCTGTGCCCATGCCCACCTTGTCCCCAGCCCAGAGCACTCAGTGCCACCTCCAGGGACACCTGCAGGGATGGGCACTCCAAAGCCTGGTTCTGTTCTGGGACACTGCTCATCCCTCTGCTGCCTGCAGGTTCCCATCAGCTCCAGGAAGGCTTCCAAAGGCCCCAGCCAGGCTGGGGACATCTGCCTGATCTGCCCTGCAGGGCTCCTCAGGAGATCCTGGCTGCCAGGGACTGGGGAGAAGCGGGCTGAGCAATGTGCAGGGTGTGAGTGAGTCCCTGTCCTTTGGGGCACAATGGGCACCACTGCAGCGTGGGCTTGTGGGCCAGAGGGGCTGTCAAATATCTGACACTGGCACTTTTGGCCTGAAATCCACTGTTTCTTGACCAAGATGAGCACTTGGCAGCTCAGTGTACACCGATGAGCAGCACAGTGCTGTCAAACGTCCTTAGAGCTCAGGGCTGCTGACAAGGACCCATCTTCCCCCTAAGCACACCCCAGGAAGGTTTACTTCAGACCAGCTTTCCTCTGGTCTCCTGCCCTGGTCATCTTTTAGACACTGGACAGTAGCAAGTGTGCATCTCAGGCAGTCTTCCCATCCAATTTATCCAGGAGGAATCCAGTGTGCTCCAGGAGAACCCCCCCAGGAGGGACAGGGCACCTCCAGTGGAAGCTGTCAGAACACTTCTTTTACAGGGGCTCTCCTGGCCTAGGGCAAGCAGGGACCTGTGGCCTTCACATTCTCTGAACAGAGAGACATAATTCTCTCTCTCAGGGATTTTTCTTAGAGAAGCACAGAGAGAAGAAGAGAAAACAATTCTTATTTGTACCTGTGTTTGTGTCCATGTGGAATGTGGTATAGAGATTGTTTACTCACGGTGATAACTTAATTAGATTCTGGTGATAGTTGTTTGGATTCATGGACCAATTGGATCCAGCAGCTGCGTAGGACTCTCAGGAGAGAGTCACGGGTTTTTTGGTTAGTTAGTTAGTGATAGTTCTTGTTAGTTTAATATAGTATAATAAAGTAATTAATTAGCCTTCTGAAATCATTTGAGTTCACAGCTCATTCTTCCCAGGCACTGGGTCACTTTTACAATGGGGGCCAAAGGCTGTGGGGGAAATCTCAGCTCCCAGACCCCCTGTCACACCAGGCCAGGGCCAGAGTGCTGGATCTCGTGTGTCCCCACAGGACAGAAAGCCCTCAGCACCGAACAGCCAAGAAGGGTTCATGTCCCTGAACATGAACCTGCATGAACCCTACTGCCTTCTCCCACCCTCCTTACTTCCCTCACTGGTATCCCTGGGCTGGAGGAGCAGTTCTGGATTGCCTTCCCCTTCTCTGTTACCATCTCCATATGGCACAGCCCTGCGGGAACATCTCCCTTCTCCTCACCATCGGGCAGAGCCCAATCTGCAGGAGCCCTCGTTCCTCTTCCTGGCCACACTGTCCTGGTCCTGTGACCTCCACAGCACCCACAGCGCTCAGCACCTTCTGGCAGGCGCCAGAGAGATTGAGTTTCCCTCCTGCCTGCCCAGACATCCTCCATCATCCAAGGTGGAGCCAGGTGCTCTCGGCTGTGGATGGTTCCGTGGCTGTTTACTGCCCGCTGGGCACCCCAGCACCCTGCAGTGCCCGTGCTGGTGGCCCTGGTGTGCCCGGTGCTGCTGCAGGGATGGCCCTGCTGACCCTGGTGCTGCTGCAGGGATGGCCCTGCTGACCCTGGTGCTGCAGGGGTGGCCCTGCTGACCCTGGTGCTGCTGCAGGGATGGCCCTGCTGACCCTGGTGCTGCTGCAGGGGTGGCCCTGCTGAGCCCAGTGCTGCTGCAGGGATGGCCCTGGTGTGCCCCAGGTGCTGCTGCTCCACCAGGCACTCCTGAGC